AAATATTTTTAGATGGAACACCATAAATTCGGTATCATTTTATTAAATTAGACTTATAGTATTTTAGATACTTAAAACAAATTGTTTAGACATTTTTTTTTTACATATTCGTCTATATACACATACACATAATTGATGTTAAATTTAAATATATATAGACATGTTTTATTTACAAAATAGTCTAGAAATTTCTTTTTTACATAATGTTAAATTCAAATGTTTTTAGATATGTTTTTCTTCTAAAATTATTTAGAAAAGTTGTAGGTGATTTCACATCTTTCAAAAATAATATATAAAAATTTGAATACTATTACATATACTAATATAATATTTTAGGTGTTCTTAATATTAAACATACAAATTTTATATTCTCTTATACAAAATAATGTAAATTTTATATTCTATTATACAAAATAATTTTACATTGTTTGACCTTGAATTTTTAATTTATAATTATTAAGTATTGTTTATTCTCCTCTTTAATTTATAATTATTTTTTTTTTCCTCTTTTTAAATAGAATCAATAGTAATTTCCACTTCCGCCATTGAGTGACTCAAACTTGAGATTTATTTATAATATTGTTAATTTAATATTGTTCCCGTGCATCGCACGGGGTGTACACTAGTGTTTACATTAGTAACATGAATAAAATAATTTATATATTTGTGACATATATTAAGAAAATTAACATAAATAAGAAAAATTATTGGTGTTTCTGATTTTTAGAAAGAAAAAAATATGTGCCAATAATATTTTTCTTCCAGTAATGCAACTAAATATAGCGGTTATAGCTCTGAATGTGACAATCAACTCTAAGTTACAACATTAGCAGTTACACATTTGACTATTTTTCAATCACAAATTTAGAATTAATTTAGTAACTTATCTAAAAAAATAAATATTTAATTTATATATATATATATTACGGTGTAACAATTTTAGCAGATTAGTGAGTAATTAATTAAAAAATATAACTCCTTTTGGAGGGAAATGAAATTAGTGAGTAATTAATTAAAAAAAAACTGTAACTGCTTTTGGAGAAAAATGAAAATAGATTTTATTAAATATTTTATTAAATGCATCAGCTAGTAATTATATATATAGATTATGAATAATAAAAATTTATACAAAGTTAAAGCTATGAGGAATCATTATTAATTAAAATTGACGACGAAATTAAATGTTGCCAAATTCATTTAACAACTGTTCTTCACGAATAGTTGTTACATTAACAATGGTTTTCTCTTTAACGGTTTTGCTATGAAGCTAACAGTTGGCTCCATAATGGAGTCAACTTTCTATATACAACAAATAAATCTACCATATTTTTTGATTACTTAAATAACACTAATATAATTTTATTAATATAGTAGATTTGCTTGTTGTATATAGAAGAAGGTTGGCTCCACTATGGAGCCAATAGTTGGCTTCATAGCAAAACCGTTTCTCTTAAAGAAAATGTTAAAATTGAATTACAATTTTAATAAAATTTAACAATGGTTTTCTGAAAATCCTTTTCGAATTATATAATTATTAACTGTAGGGGGTGTCAATAAAACCTGTAGGGCCGGGTTACCCGCATTTTTTGGTCGGGTAAGCTCCATATGATCGGGTTTCGGGTCAAGTTTGTTAATACGATAATTTTATAATCTAACTAAATAAGCTAATAAATCAATGAGTGATACTTAACAAACACGCTCATTTATATCCAAGTAGTAAATTATTCATTAAGGGTATATGAGTACATGTACCCCTTGGATGTAAACCAAGTGGTACACCAAGGGGATCAAATAGCAATATTCTATATATATATATATATATATATATATATATATTCCTTTGGGCCTAAACTGTAATAAATATTTGTTATTGGGTCGACAAAACAGAAATAAACGTCATTTCATATGTGTATATGTCGTTATTTTACGTCAATGAAGGAGAAAAGGTATTAAAAAGGCACATTAAGGATGTTAATTTGTAGCCAAACTTATGGGTCCATTGTGTAGACAAATTGAACACCATCGTTATTAGAACACCAGCTGCAAAATTGATTAATCAATGTGTTTTGTCTCTGATCCAAACACACCATATATAAAAGCACAGCACAACGCATAAAAGCAAAGCACAACCTATATATGATTCACGCAAATGGTGAAACCGTGGCTCGAACATGATGTTCTAGGGATCGTTTACCCTCGTATATCGTAGTCTAAAGCTTACGTTTCCCTCTTTGTAGCAAAAAAAAAAAAAAAAAGCACAACCTATATATGATTCACGCAAGTGGTGGTTGCAATTTCCTATCATGCATATAAATGTCACTTGGTCAGTTTGTCACACATTTGACACTTTCATGTCAAGTGATTAATTAATTAAATGTAATTTAAATGTGTGTTTATTGTTAAATCACAATTACTAAGGGTCTTAATTTGCCAACTAGCTTAATGCTTTATTACAAAGAAAAGTAAAAGAAAAAAATGATCCTACCAACGTGCCCGTCAAATTTTTTACCGATAGATTGACTAACGTATGAATTTGTGTGTGTGATCCAACTGTAAAATTAAAAATCTGATTAATGCACAGCCATGTACGAATTTGTCGTTTTTATTACTTTGTGTTAGGAGATTTGCGAACTCACTTGATGAATTACGTTTCACCCAATATGCCTTAATTGCAAAACAAAGACATGCAAATGACTAGAGGTTAGCATGCTTGTTAGCAGGGGCGGACCTAGGCAGGGGCCCGTAGGGGCATGGGCCCGTAGCAATTTTTAAAAAAAATTAATGCATATATAATTATATTGTAAAAATAATTACAAAAAGATTTTTTCAAAATTTAATAAGTTGTTTGCGTTTTGTATTTGTATTATGTTGTGAGCAACATATATAAATGAGTTACATCGATTTTTCACAAAAGTTAATATAGATTTTGATTCATGTTGAATATTAGGGGTTCTTAAATTATAATTATAAATTTAAAATTAGCTACTAATTTGTATTAGTCATTGATTTTTTAACTAATAAGATATTTATCTTTATAAAAAAGTTTATGAATGCTGACGTTTTAAGAATATCCAATGCAAAAGGAAAAAAAATATTGGTATTTAAAAAAGATATATTTAATGAGATTTGAATTTATGTAATGACGAGTGACATATATATAGAAACATGCACATAATAGATATTATTTTCTTTTTCTTGCACTTTATAAATGTTACATTTGTGCCCCCTCAGTCTTCCGAGTTTGCGTTAGCCCCTGCTTGTTAGATTCGTAAAAAATCGAACTATATGAATCCAACAATCTTAAAGTTACTTAAACTCGATTTTTTCTCGCATTTGAACTCTGGAATTAATTTATAATTCAACCTAAAATGAATTTGAGATTTTACAAGTGATTGGGGAAATGGAACCACAAAATTGATACAAAACCAATTTTATTTTCACAAAACATTTTAACGATGTACTAAATCATTATCATCGTACAAAACACTATAATAGTGACCATCTATTCATTCTATCTAGTGCAATCAACAACAACTAGTGCGTATCCCGTGCGATGTACGGGTAAATAATATTAAATAATAATTATAAATAGGTCTCGAATTCGAGTCACCTAATGAAAGAAATGGAAAACCATTATTTCTTAAAAGAGATAGTGTAAATTAAAGATGAGGGTGAACAAATTAAAAATTGAGGGTTTGATGTGATATAATTTACCGTATATCAGTTTATTAACAATAAAATTAGCTCGTACAAGAGAACATAAATTTTGTATGTTTAAAATATTACAAACACCTAAAATAATATATTAACATATGTAAAAATATCTGAATTTTTTTATATTTATTATTAATATATGTGGAGTCACCTACAACTTTTCTAAATTATTTTGAAAAGAAAACATGTCTAAAAACATTAACTTTCATTTTGTATAAAATATGTTTTCTAAACTTTTTTTTAAAAGAAAACATTCTTAAAAATATTTAAAGTTAATAGTATATGTATATGTATATATAGATAGAATATGACGTGATAAAATATTATATAAAAGTATCTATAATATTATAAGTTTAAATAAAGTCATTATAAAGTTTCTAGAAGAAAATTTACATAGTATATATAAATAAATATGACATGATTATGACGGTACCTAAAAATTTGTTAATAGAATATTTCAAAACTATTATTATTATTTTTTAAGTAATTTGAGTACAAAAAATATAAAAAATATTATTATTTTGTAGTCACTGTAAAAGATTTTTGTACGCATACAATTACATGCTATATGCAGATTTATCAATTTTACAAATAAAATGGTATTTATTATATATCTAACTGAGATTAAAACATAATTGTTACCTCAAAAGAAATTTTGTACCAAATCCACACATAATGCACATTTATATCCACATTCAATTTTACAAATGCAAATCGAGAGATTAATGCAAGCCGTAACAAATAAAAATAGACTTTATATTTAACTGAGATTAAGATAAAAATTGAAGACGATATTTCATTTTGTATTGTTTCTATTAATTTTTATCTTATTTATATTTCTATTAACTTTGTATTGTATGTATTGAATATTTTTGGGGGAGAAATATATGATAAATTTTATTTTATTTTACTATATATATATATATATATATATATATATTAAACACATCTAAAATATTATCACATATATAAAATGTATCAAAAATTCTATATTAGTCTTGAAATATGTTTGAAGGCACCTAATTTTTTTTTTATAAAATATCATGTAAAAAAAACATGTATAAAAATATTTATGTTTAACCTCCATACATGTACCCGCATCCTCCATATATACTTAATCATTGTCCAAATAATGTTTAAAATATCTAAAATATTATATAAGTTAATAATATTAATAATTAGATAGATGAAAATTAGCTTTTTTAAAAAAATATATAAAGAATTTGTGTTGCTAATGAGATGTTGAATTTGAAATTTTACATAATCCTTGCTCTGAGGAAGTTTAAATGTATCAATTTTCTTTGTTGTACAGGTGCAAAATAAAATCTATATTTATAGTTTAGATTTTTTGTTGTTTTACGGAAACAAATTCCTTAATTAAAGAAATCATGTATCTTCAAGCGAGCGACATCTATATACATTCTTTACAATTAATTTCAAATTTTGAATTTGAGGAGATTTCTTATCGATGACTGAAAAAATAATTTTATAATTTTAAATCAGCCATATCTTCAATTTTACAATGTTTTGAAAGCACATAAGAATTTTTTTTAATTTTAAATGTATCGTAATTTTAAATCAGGCGTAAATGAAAAATAAAAACTACAAATGTGTTACATGATTTTGTGTAAAAAAAATGTTTGACCATTTGAATATTAGATCAACACTAATTAACACTAATTAATTAAGCACGATTTTTTTAAAATAAAATAACAACGGCCACAATTAATGGGCAACATTCACTATTTCTTAAAAAGCAAAATAACAATATACTGAATTATTGGATAGCATTTAACGCTGCCATTTTTCTAAAAAAAAAAAAAAATAGTTACTAAGAATGGAATGTAATTAATGCAAAATAATTTTGACCAAAGTTTGACCTGTTATTTTTGAAAAAAGGTTATTCTTTTTATATATTTATAGATTAGTTTTATATAATTCAATAAAGGTTAAAAAATATTACTCGACAAATATTAATTATAATGGATATCAGTAAAATCATTGCATAAATTATTTAAGGAAAAAAATCTTTAAGATCATATATGGATAATAAATGTAAATATGCAAGCATTTAATGCATATATTAAAAAAAGTTTCCAAATAAGGTATGCACTAAATGTGTGTTGACTTTTGTTGCTACTATTTTTGGTAAATAGGTTGGTTTTTAATATAGATATAGATATAGATATTATTATATAGCACGTAGAGATCTTCTTTAATTAATATTCATGAACCAACTTATGTAGTGAAATAATTCACATCTTTTATATTTATGATATTGAAGTAAATTATATAGAGAAATAAATTGTGCTCTTTCTTTTTTGGAGACTTGGGAGCATAGTTTTTTTTGACCTGGACCGGCCCGAGGGTCTACCCGTAGCTGGAACATTTCGGGTGGACTATTTGGACCGGGCAACAAAAAACCCAGTCAAATCGGCCTTGACCCGACCAATCTAGGGCATTGACACGATTGGGGCAACCCAGTTGACCCGATCCACATATATATATATTTATTTTATTTTTATTTTTTTGTTTTGTTTTTAAAAATAAAACTATGTATGTATGATTATGTGATAAATATTTATAATGGATACATATTATTAACACCTTAATGAAATTTTATACACAATCATTTGATTTTTATTACTTTTATGTATATTTATATGGCAAAAATACTCTTTATATAATTTTAAAAAATTTAAAATTTCTTATCTAGTTCAACAATTGACCAGGTGATCCGACGATTAAACCGGTGATCC